TGCTTCGAGGTCTTCAAACTATTGTCTTCCAACGAGGCAATTGCCTCAATAGAGATGAACCGTTGCAGGGGCCTATGAAGAGGGAGCTTGGAGGGAGGATAAATTCCAACATCGGTGTTGATTATTGGGTGTACACTGGTCCTCCTCCTCTTCCTCCTCCCTCCTCCTCCTCCTCCTCCTCCTCCTCCTCCTCCTCCTTCTCCTCCTTCTCCTCCTCCTCCTCCTCGACCTCCTCCTCGTCCTCCTCCTCCTCCTCCTCATCATCATCATCCTCCTCCTCCTACTCCTCCTCCTCTTCCCTCCTCCTCCTCCTCCTCCTCGTCCTCCTCCCTCCACCTGCAACACCGTTATCCAGTCTGCTGCCGCCCGCCCGTGGATGGCCACATACGGCTGGAGCACAAGCACCACCGCCTCGCCCTGCGGGGGGAAGGGGGAGGGGAGAGAATTCTGCCTCCAGGAGCGCTGGCCCTGCCAGCGCCGCCGAAGGGTGCAAGCAAGGGCCCTGCGCTTCCTTGAACCGCCGAAGAGCCGCGCCAGATGACAGTCTCCTTGCTTGCAGCGCATCTCGCCTGCACGAGCTGCAAGATCAGCACGGCGAGCACTGCGCCTCATGACCCCGTCGGTGGGTAGCGTGCAGCGCCGAGTTCAGCGACGCGGGGAGCCTGGCCATGCCAATCCCCAAATCTCGCCCTGCCGAAAAGCATGATACCAGCGATGCGGGTGGCGATCCCTCGAGCTCTACACGTGCGCCAGCGACTCGATGCCTCCCGCGAGAAACAGCCCCGCCAGGGCAGCGCCTGGACGAGAGCCAATGAGCGCCTGTGCCGGCTGCGAACTGACGCGGTTGCTGAGGTCATCCAAATATCAGCGACCGACCGCGGCGGTGGCTCCGCTGTGCTGAATTCGCATGTTCCAGCCTGCCGTGAGTTCACCGCGCTGACTGGATGTAAGCGCCTGCTGCTCTCTTTTCTGGCCGTGACCGACACTTCAGCGACTTCTTTGGCCTGTCTCGCCGGATTCGGTTCCGTGGAGGTGCGCCGTCGTATATGTAAGTGGGGGGGCGAGCTCAGCAAAGCGATCATCGCTGTCCTCCCTCAACCCTGCACCACCCCCACCCAACCATCGTCCCTGATCTCTCCCCCCTGTTCCTTCCTCACCTAGGCCAACCACGACTCACGATGCCGTCAATCCAAATATGCTCCCCTCTTGTGTTGCTTCCCTCTATCCCGTCCTCGCGTAACCAATTCAGTTCCCCCGCCCTCCCTTCCCATCCTGTCTCCCATCACACATTCCCTACCGTTCTGACCCCTCGCCTCCCCTCCCTTCCCTTCATCCGCCCCTTCCCTTTCCACTTCCCCCTTCCCGGCGTCCTTCTCCCACATCCTCCTCTTCGTCCTCCTTCTCCTCCTCCTCCTCCATCTCCTACTCCTTCTCCTCCTCCTCCTCCTCCTCCTCCTTCTGCTCCTCCTGTTCCTCCTCCTGCTCCTCCTCCTCATCATCATCATCCTCTTCCTCCTCCTCCTCATCCTATTTCCCTCCTCCTCTTCCGTCCTCCTCCGTCCTCCTCCGTCCTCCTCCATCCTCATCCTCCTACATCCTCATGTTCCTCATCTTCCTCCTCCTCTTCCGCCTCCACCTCCGCCTGCTCCTCCTCCTCACCGTCCTCTTCCTCCTCCTCCTCCTCCTCATCATCATCATCATCATCATCATCATCATCATCATCACCATCATGATCCTCGTCTTCATCATCATCATCATCATCATCATCATCATCATCATCAGCATCATCATCATCATCATCAGCACCATAATCATCATCATCATCATCATCATCATCATCATCATCATCATCATCATCATCATCATCATCATCATCATCATCACCAGCATCATCAGCATCATCGTCATCATCAGCATCAGCAACGGCTGCAGCGTCATCCTTCCTGCTTGCTCCATGCTCCTTCCTTTTTCCTTTCTCCTTCATCATCCCTCCTTTCTCCTTCATCCGTCCTCATTTATCCTTCCTTATTCCTTCCCCGTTCCTTGTTCCTCCTTCCTCCTTCCTCCGTCATCCTTCCTCCTCTCCTCCTGCTCCTCCTCCTCCACGTCTCTTTTTCCTGCTCCTCTTCCTCATCATCACCATCACCATCAGCATAGCATCATCACCACCATCATCATCATCATCATCATCATCATCATCATCATCATCATCAGCAGCATCAGCATCATCATCAGCATCATCACCAGCATCATCACAATCAGCATCACAATCATCATCATCATCATCATCATCATCATCAGCAGCAGCAGCAGCAGCATCATCAGCATCATCATATGCGTCTTCTCCTTCGTCGTCTCCTTCGTAGCAGACATATGATTATCGGTTTTAGTTGTCGCACTCGCATTATTATTCGTATGCTGCGGCGTCGTATTCTAATTAACGTTAGTATTCGACCGATTCTAGTCAGTGACGATTCGTAATATTCTTCGCATCAATAGTGTGGATGTTGCGGGTGGCGCATTCGTCGTCGCAGTCGCCTTCGACGTACTCGCTGTTAGAATTCGTACCAGTATTCGTACTCTCCTTCTTAATCTCATGGTTGTCAGATTAGCCTTAGTATTCGTAGTAGTTTTGCTTCTCTTCCTCCTCCTCATAAGTAGTATCTTCCTCATGTTCCCTCCTCCTCCTTCTCCTCCTCACCACCATCATCAGCATCATCATCAGCATCCTCTCCTCCTTCTCCCCGTCCTCCTCCTCCTTCTCCTCCTCATCGTCCTCCTCCTCCTCCTCCTTCTCCTCCCCTCATCCTCCTCCCCTCTTCATCGTCCCCCTCCTCCTCCCTCCTCCTTTTCTTCTCCTCCTCCTCCTCCCTCCTCCTCCTCCTCATCCTCCTCTTCCTCTTCCTCCTGATTTTCCTCCTCCGCTTCCTCCTCCTCGTCCTCATCATCATCCTCCTGCTCCTGCTCCTGCTCATTATCCTCCTATTCCTTCTCCTCATGTTTTAGTAATGGGATTAGTAGCAGTTGCTCGTAATAGTAGTACTACAATTGCGCGGTTTAATATGATCGTCCGCATTATGATGCGTAGTAGTAGTAGTAGTAGCAGTAGCAGTAGTAGTAGTAGTAGTAGTAGTAGCAGTAGTAGTAGTAGTAGTAGTAGTAGTAGTAGTAGTGGTGGTGGTGGTGGTGGTAGTAGTAGTAGTAGTAGTAGTAGCAATAGTAGTAGTAGCAGTAGTAGTAGTAGTAGTAGCAGTAGTAGTAGTCGTAGTAGTAGCCGTAGTAGTCGTAGTAGTAGTCGTCGCCGTCATATCGTTAGTATGTGTTTTCGTGTTATTACTCGTAAGTATACGATTATGATTGTCAGTAATGTCCATCGAAATTACGAGTGGTACCATTAGCATTGGCATTGTTATTTTGCATAGCACGAATAGTCTTCATGGTATGAGTGGTGTTTTTGCTAGGTTGTGTTGATGGCACTGTTAATATTAGCTTCACTGCTGGTAATATTAATAGGATTGTTGTTAGTAGTGCAGTATTACACGTATCACTAGTTTTTTCCGCTCATACATAATATTATACAAGTAGGCCTGCCCTATAGGAAACCTCATCATAAGTGATTGATCTTAAGCATCCCCCCCCTTTTCCAATGCCGCCCGCCCCTATTTCCAATGGCACCCCTCTCCCCCCTCTTTTCCACTGGCATCCCCCCTTAGTTCCAATGGCACCCCTTGCTTGCGCTTGCTTGTTTGCACTTGATCGCTTTCCCTTGCTTGCTGTTGCTTGCTCTTGCTTGCCCCTGCTTGCTTGCAATTGATCGCTGGCTCCTACTTGCTTGTTATTGCTCGCTTGCGCTTGCTTGCTTCCGCTTGCTTGCCTGCGCTTGCTTGATGTTGCTCCTCCCGTCCTCCTCCCGTCCTGCTCCCCTCCTCTTTTCGTCCTCCTCCCACCCTCCTCTCGTCCTCCTCCTGTCCTCCTATATATTCGGAATCAACGCTGGCTGATATTATCAGCAATACCATGATCGTTACTAGTAATACTACGAGTGGTGGTATTAGCAGTATATATAGTATTATGAGTAGTAGCACTTAGCATTATTATTAATACTGTCATGATGAGAACTACTATGATGAGTAGCAGTATGAGTCGTAGTATTACTGCTACTGTGAGTACGATCTAGTGATGATAGTACTACGAATTTCGATGATACGAATAACAGCACTATTACTACAGCTGTTGGTCCTGATGCTATTATTCCTTCTCCTCCTGCATCCTTTTTCATTACAATAGCCACTCCCTGTCGCACCCCCAGACGTGTCGGCAGGGCGGGCTGGGCGTTTTGCCGAAGACTTCCTCACCACTTATGACCGTGAAGCTTGAAGGCTGCACGGATGGAGGGCAGGTGGTTTTCACCATGTGGCCCCCGCCCCAGCATCGCACACACTCAAACAGCTCACAATAGCTTCAAGGATGGAGGGCGGCTCCTTCTCAAAATGTGGCTCTCGTCTTAGCGCCGCGCATACCGTCTGAGAAGCTGCAAGAGTTGCGCGGAACCGTATGGTGCAAGTCCCAGGAATGGTGTTCTGTCTAGAACTCGAATTCTCAAGACTCAACAGTCACGTTGTTTCGCGGTGCTGAAATCCCAGGAACAGCGTTCTGGCACAATTTCGGGCTGTCAGGACGCAACATTCGCATGGATCCACGGCGTTGATGTCCCAGGAATGGTGTCGCGATTGGGGATTATCAAAGTAAGTTCTTCTAATGGTCCACTTCCCGCAGTGCAGAAATGCAGAGACCTGTGAAAGGGGAAATTGGAGGGAGGGAGTATTGCGACAACGTTCATGCGTCTTGGGCTCACACCTGTCATCCTCCTTCTCCTCCTCCTCCTCCTCCTTCTCCTTTCTCTACCCTTCAGCCTCCACCACCATCACTCTTCCGTCCGCTCTCGTTCCTCCGCCCTCGCCCACGCCACTCCCTCCCGCTGGAGGGGGAGGGGGCGGCTC